AATTGGATTCACCTGAAACTCTCTACTCGGGGGTTCTTGGGGTCGCTGATTACGAACATGATGTCAGCTTTCAAAAATTCAAAATGTCGGATCCAATATGGCGGATCAGTTTTGAAAAAACTTTTGGATTCACCTGAAAATCTCTACTCGGAAGTTCTTAGGGTTGCTGATTACGAATATGATGTCAGTTTTCAAAAATTCAAAATGGCGGATTCAAAATGGCGGATAAGTTTTGTAAAAATTAATTGGATTGACCTAAAACTCTACTCGGTGGTTTTTTGGGACCGCTGATTACGATTATAATGTCAGTTTCCAAATCAGCGACCTCAAAAACTCTGAACTAGAATTTTAAAAAACTGACATAAGATTTGTAATCAGTGACCTTGAAAACCCAGAAGTAAACAGTTAAAGGTCAATCAGAATAATTTTTCAAAAATTCTGCCATATTGGAACTGTCATTTTAAATTTTGAAGAACTAACACCGAATTTATAATCAGTGATCCCAAAAACCCCCGAGTGACGAGTTTTGATCAAATTCGACATTTTAACACTCAACGGTGTTTGATGGTCTCTGAAATTTCTAGATTATATTCGACAAACTGCTATCACCCAACAAATACGGCACTGTCTGGTTTAAATGACGTGAAATTGGTAAACAACTATTAGTTTCGAACGTGTTTTTCTCTGCACACAAGCACTTTTTGCAAAATCTGAATGCGAATCATTGACACAAGTCTTCTTAATTACGTAAATACAAAATATTTTTTTAATTCTTGAAGAAACGCGGTTGCAAAATGGGAAAGGCCAGAGTAATGTAATGCGAATCATTTTGACAGCTGAGCCTTTACGCTCCCTGCATGCTTCTGCCCTCTAATGGCAAATGGTTGTAACAAACGTCTTGCCGCCTGTCATGAATATTTAAAATTTTACATAATGACAAATAATAATAAAAAGTAGTATTATTCCTTATTATCCTTTTCGAAACTCAAATAGATTCTTTTTATAGAACGATAGATAATTAATAATTTCGAAATACATACAAAAAAATGTAATTAACAATAACTATTGTAAAAATTAAAATTTCGCAAAACTGTTCAACTTGTATTTTTGTTTTATCGTATAGAGTAGAAAAAAGTTAAAATCATAGAAAATACTCACCTATCTAAAACTGATGGGTCACTTCACAAATTTTGACACTATTACAAGCTGTAATTTTTGAAAAATTACAATGTTAAAGAGAATGCCCCATATACATATACTCAAGTATAAAATCGTCTACGAGTGCAACAGTAACGCTCCTGTATGTAATTTTTTTGAATCTCACTCGCACTCATGCCTACTACTAATTCATAGTTTCTCTCTCTCTATCTCTGCTCACTGGTCACTCAATAGACTGCCTACTGGTTAAAAGAAACCCTTCAAACAATAGGCTAGGTACTCGAGCAGACCTTTCGTTTCTTTTTAAATTTTATATATATAGGGTAATGTCACCTTGAGTGGACCGCCTAAGCTTTTTTGCGAAAAAATTCTTTATGAAAGCAAATTAATCGGAGGTTTTTATTCCATGCTTTAGTTTAGATCCCTAGGTAAGTGTTTACACCATAATAGCTTTGTTTTATTTTTATTTGGAAAAAACAATTGACTTTAAAAAAATAGCTAATTTTTAAGGAATGAAAAAAGTGTAACCTTGAGTGGACTACTCCTAAAAAATTGTAAAAGTTATTCTATTTTCTTTAATTTATTTAATATTTCTAATATATTAAAACAAAATTTATGCTTATGCAGCTTTAGACCATTATTTTGTCGCAATGTTTACAAGTGAAACCACTTTTAATAATTTTGGCACATATCACATCAATATCACAAAAAAATTAATAAAGAACATAAAACATAGTTTCAAACCAATTTATTGTCAATTTATTTCCTTAAAAATGGTAAACTGACATTAAAAATATAAAAAAACAGGTAGTCCTCTTATGGTTATAAACAGTAGTCCACTCATAGTGAAATACAACTTTTTATGGCAGCCACCACAATTTTTTTTGAGTCAAAATTATCACTTAATTAAACTAAGACAATCAATTGCAATGTCCAAAGTAGTAGGAAAAAAATAAGTTACCTTTCAAAACTGAAATTTTACACTACTTTTACACTTCTGAATCACTTTACTGATTGTAAGAGCGACTTCTTTTTTGGTTTGTATTCTTAAAAATGCGTTACATCAAACAATAACGTACATGTTTATCGCGGAACTTAATTTCTTACGGTTTCTAGGTGTGGTGCTGCTATTCGTTTTATTTATTTCATGTTTCCGCTGTCAGATAACTTAAAAGTTCAGGTGGTCCACTCAAAGTGGCGGTCCACTCAATGTGACATTACCCTATATATACATATATCTTTTAAATATCTTTTTGTCTCCTTCTTTCTAGATACTAAATACCATTATCGGTCTCTGTTTATAACGCAGAAAATCTAACGCTATTGCTTTCTTCCTCTTTCAAAAGTAAATAACACTAGAATCTCTCTCTTTACCTAATTTGCATATCTACTGATTTCATATAAGGATACATAGTAGAGTTTAAAGAATTGTTAAAAAAATTTAATTTTTTTCAAATATGTTGATTAGGTACTCGAATCTTTATGTAATTTATTAAAATTTTTAATTGTATATCGTATAACTTAGAAGATTTTAAGATTTCGATTGGTACATTTGTTAATTTTCTGACATTTGTTTTTATAGAAAAATCGTGATTTAAAGATTGTTATATTTTTGAAACATGTTCGTGAAACCGTACCGATAATATTTTAGAAGGTAGCGCTGGTTCAATGTATCCTACTCATCCCTAATTATCAAAACAAAAAAAATTCTTTTTAATTTATTTTATAAACCAAGTCCTGCGCTACGCGAAGAATCACCCAAATGAGGCATTTCACGTCAGAAATATCACGATTTGCAAAGGGTATGCCGATTTTCGCAAAACTTCGTGGGATTATAGTTCTATATAAGAGACTTCTTTCCCCCAAATTTTTTCAAAAAAAATTCAAAATTGTTGAAGATACGCCATTTTGAATTTTAATATTAATTTTATAAAATTTTGAATATCTCGGAATATTGTTTATGGATTTTTATGAAATTTACACATTTTTCAGGTAAAAGTATGTACTTTAAAATGCAAATAAAGTTAATAAAAAAAAATTAATTTTTAAATAAAAAAATTTAAAAAAATTTTTTTAAACAATTTTTTGTTTATTTACTCCTCTCTGAGAAAAATGTTATTAACATATTTTGATTTCTTATGAATTCACCTTTAATTTCATAAAAAAAAATTGATGGAGACATAACTGGTTCCGGAGATATTGAATTTTTTGTAAAAAATAGTCATAGTTACAGCAGCAATGCACGACTGCGGTAACGTACTATGCGACTTGTGCAGTTTGGTGCTATGGCGCGGTGACGCTTTTTTTTACAAAAAATTCAATACCTCCGGAACCAGTTGAGTCTCCATCAATTTTTTTTTATGAAATTAAAGGTGAATTCATAAGGAATCCAAATATGTTAATAACATTTTTCTCAGAGAGGAGTAAATAAACAAAAAATTGTTTAAAAAATTTTTTTAAATTTTTTTATTTAAAAATTAATTTTTTTTTATTAACTTTATTTGCATTTTAAAGTACATACTTTTACCTGAAAAATGTGTAAATTTCATAAAAATCCATAAACAATATTCCGAGATATTCAAAATTTTATAAAATTAATATTAAAATTCAAAATGGCGTATCTTCAACAATTTTGAATTTTTTTTGAAAAATTTGGGGAAAAGAAGTCTTTTATATAGAACTATAATCCCACGAAGTTTTGCGAAAATCGGCATACCCTTTGCAAATCGTGATATTTCTGACGTGAAATGCCTCAAATATTAATTTATTTTTTAGTTATTCCATGTAAAAAAAAAGTTCTTCCGGGAGTAAAAAAATTGTGTGCAACGTAAAATGTCACTTTTTTGTTTATTACAAATATAATTAAAACATAGAGTAAATAACAAAAGTGTGAATCACTATTATTTCAATGATGATTAGACTGTCGAAAAAATTGAAATAATATTTAAATTAAGTTTTAAAATTTTGTTTTTTAAAAAATCTAATTTTGTTATTTTTATCAATTAATTACGAAAAACTGGTAATAATAAATTAAATAAAAACTAACTAAATTTTAATGAAAATTAATTGTTTTTTCACTGACAATCAGTTGTTTTTGATTAATTTAGAAGCGATAAGTCATTAACTGATTGTTAGTTAAAACTATGATTTTTAACTGATTCAAATTTAGAAAGTAAACTAGAAGCAAGTGATTCTCAGAAACTCCATATTTGTCCCATAGTATGGCACAACTTGCGGCGAAATTTTATCAAATGTTTGATTCATAAATTGCCAAAGTTTAACTATGGGATTTGGACAAAACCCATACTTAATCCATAGTGGCGTAACTGGGTGAAATCTTGAAAAATTTTAATTCATAGTTTTCCCACATTTGCCATTTCCGCAAATGTACATAGGGATATTTTTTAGCTTTTTTATGATATTATATGATATGATTTATCATAAAAATGATCATCAGTGACCTAAAAAACTCCCTATATAAATTTGTAGATGTAGTCAATCATTGAAGAACGAATTTGAATGGGATTTAAATGATTTTTTTGAGGTTATGTTGCAAATAATAAAAAATGTGTCAGTCAAGACTTAAAAATACGTTAAGATTTGACTTGTCAACAGAATTTTGTCCAGAAGCGTTCATTTTTTCACACTGTTAGATGCTAATTGGTATATGATATTTGGAGCGCAGATAAAGTTATTAAATTATAAGTTTATTGGAATGCTCATATAAGGATCTTAAAAAAAATAAATTATATGAAATCAACCTTAGACAACATGAAAATGTATCAACTGAATTTTTGATGCCATTGCGCTGCAATAATAAGAAACTGAAATTGACTTTCCAGGTTGTATCGTACATATAAGGACACAAAATATGTCTACTTTTTAATGGAAGTATGTTTGGGTGGTGATGTTTGGACAACTTTACAACGCAGGCGATTTTTTGATGACTTAACTACTCAATTTATGGTTGGCTGTGTTATAGAAGCTCTGGATCATCTTCATTCATTAAACATTGTTTATAGAGATTTAAAGCCTGAAAATTTAATGTTAGATAGTCGAGGATATCTTAAACTGGTAAACATTATTTTTATAAATCTTTAACTGCAGATTTTTTATTGTTTTTAAGGATACATTGTACAGTAAAGATTAAAAGTTCTGAAAGTATATTACTATTATGAAACATTTTATGTATTGTTGACATACTCTCAATATTATATTACGATATTAGGACAGTAAGTTTGATTTTCTGGTCGGCCTGATATATAAGGCCGAGGCTTTATATAATTACGCCTGCTAGGACATCCTTGGACAATGTTAAAAATACTCAACTTTTAGATCCGACAGGGAACCTAAAATAAGCACATCAATGCTCTAATTACTTCATAAGGAACAAGAAAAACATACTCATTCACCTTATACATGTGGGAGAAGAGGTGAAATCATCCCTTTCTTTGACTATGTATCCAAACAGAGCCATTCATAAAAATTAATTAAACGAATAATCTAATGTTAAAAAATTATTTGTATGCATTATTTGCAAATATAAATTCCATAATTCAAGCAATAAACAACCCAATAAAAATATTCCACCCCTATTGTATCCCTTAAAATTAACAATCTGTAGAACAGCAATTAATTTTAATAAAATTTCAAGTTATAGTTAGTTATTACTAAATATTTTAGTAATTAGTTATTTACTAATTATGTTTATATTTTGTTTAATATTTTAGTTACCCATTTACGGTCTAATAGGACTGCGGGAATCGACAATGTAAATAAATAAATTATATCAAGTTGAAGTTTTTTTATCCCACATGCACAAAAATGGCGCTTTTAGATAGCTGACGATAGACAGGGTTGCCAGATTCCTAGTAACATACCGCAATTAGAAGGCGCTGATGTAGCCCAAAATTAATTAAATAATTAAGTTTCTTATTTTCTTATTAACTGACAAATTATTATATTACTTAAATGTTTAATTGTTTGTATAACCAATAATAAAGTTCTTAAAAATTAACAATCAACATCGAATTAAATATTTATTATAATTTATAATAGTGAAAATCTAAATACTAAAGAAAATTATCACACTAACAGTCTTCAATTTTTGGTGCTGGTAGGCATAAAACGTTTTAAAAAATTATGCAACATTCGCGCATTGGTCGAAGTCATTTTCAAATAATTCTAGTAAATTATTGTAATCCTCAATTTCAAAATCAACTTCATCTTCGGCCTGCGCCTCTTCGGCATTAACTCGAAATAGATACATGCTACTATTAAATCTATTTAACATGTCTTTGGTAACTTCAAAATCTCTGCAACATTTTTCGAAAATCTAATTTTCAAAATAGAAAGAAACAATATAATTAGTAAAATTCTTCTATTCGAAATTAAAAAAAAATTACAAATAAAATAATCATACCTTAAGATGAACTCTCAAACGTAAAAGAGCTTCCAACATTTGAATTTGTAATTTATTTCGGTTTTTGTTTTTTTATGTTATTCATATAACTGAAAATTCGTTCGACAACTGCATTGCTGACTGGCAAAGTAAGGCAACGGAGAGCAAATAGTGCAAGTTCCTTAAAGGGCTTTTCGCCAACGGAATTTGAGCAATCCAAAACGCAGGACCAAAAATGATAAATATTAATAGTATTTATATTTTTATTTTCTTCCGGGTGTAAGCATATTTTGCAAAGTGGAAAAAAAACCTAATGCTCGCCATTGAGCCTCTAAAAGTTCTCGGTCAGCATTAGGATCTATGGAAAAGAAATAATAAATTAATATAGTTTATTTGAATATTATAAACAAGATAATCACAATAAAGCATGAAATTTATTATATTTTTTATCACCTAAATCCAGTGGCAGTTGATGGAAAGTTGGTCAACCTACTTTTGACAAAGTTAGTTGTGGAGACAAATATCTTAACTTTTCTATTGCACCAAGATTGTCAGGCAATCTTTCAAGAAGCTGACGAGACAATGTTAACAAGTAGTTTTCACAATTAACTTTTACATTTTTCAAACATTGATATGGAATATCGATTTTCTCACATAATTGAGTGAATGTCTCGCCAAAATTGACCTGATCAATAGGCTTAAGATTTTCAGTGACTTTTAAAGCATTTTTAAACAATTTTACCTCGTCCAGTCTGAGAATTCCCGGCCTATACGTCTCTGTGATTGACCTTTCTTGTAGAACTCGTTTCGTAATGCCAAACGAAAGATTGCGAAGATCACAGTATAGTTTTGTGATATCAGCATTTGTATGCTCGAAAGCTAAATTCACACTGTTTATATCTCTTAATATCGACTTTAAAAATGTTAGATAAATTAAATATTAAAAATATTAATAAATATTAATATTATTAATTGTTAGATATAAAAGATTGGAATTATCTTTATAGAAATATAATAAAGTATTTACTTTAAAATCATTAGGCTGCGATACAGTTGCATTTGAAAAAAAGTCGCGTAAATCGAACCACTGATCGATAATAACAGAAGAAACAGAAAGCCAAACTAGCCATCGCGTTTTCGCCAAACTTTGTAATTTTTGAGGAGTTTTTCCATTATTTCTTTCCTGGAAATTAATTACAATTTTAATTTTTGAATATAAATTAAGACGGACTCAAAAAATATAAACATAATATATGTGACGTTCTAAGGTGAAAGGGACCTAAGTTGCATAAAATTTTAAGCTATGTTAATTGTTAGTAACGAAAACTAGTCACTTTTATTTACACTACCGTCCGTAAGTATCAGGACGCCCCTTTTTTCATGAGTGGAAAAATGCTTAAAACGTAGAAAATAAGAATGACAAAAAATTTTCGTATTTTTTTCCTGAAAGCTAATGTGTTAGAGTTATAGATGTGTACGGCCCTTGTGCCTTCTACCTCTTTATATTACTTGTTACTTCTAATTATAATATTTAGTCTTCTTTTGACCTGTGTAATGGTAGGGTCTGTTTTTCATTTAATAAACTTATATTTTCGTTCAAGTGACCGTGGTCCTTTTCTATACCTATATCCTAACAGGTTATATGCCCTAACGAGTGCTTACACTGCGCGAAATTTTTTTTTATCGTTGTAGTGTGTTTAACGTGTAGTAATATATAAAAAAAAGGAAAATTAACTTCTCAACCGAAGATGACATACCCGACGAGAAATTGAAGTGATCATCACTGGATTTCCTTTTTTTTCTGAAGTTGACCGCGTGTTTACGAACATGGAGTTAAACACATCAGGTAAGAAAACACATGTGTGCTTTATGTATTAATTTTTTTAACAAATATTACTGCTTATTTGTTTATACATAGAAGTTGAATATATTTTTTCTACGCCTCTCTGTCTCATAGTATGTGTATCTACATATTTGTAATCATCTTGATTTTTTCATTTGAATGCAGATTAAGTGTACATATATTTTTTTTATATATTAACTCACTTAAAACTATTTTAAATATTAAATAAAATTTCCATAGGGTATTGTAGTGTGAGATCAATAAAAACATGACCTGCAAAGGTTCAGGTCAGTGACCTTCGAATCAGAAGGATTTATTTCCTCCTAATACTTATTATGAGAATGAAAGAGACAGAGAGCGTAGCGTAAATAAGACTACTATTTGTGAAATAAATATATAAATGTAGACTTGAGTGTATATGTATATTTGTATGTGTGTATACATATGTACACTTTTCTTTTCTTTTAATTTAAAGATAACCATTACCTACGAGAATTCATTAATGATGTGCGACGACTGCTCAAATTGAACGAGGACACTGTGATTTATACCACAATCACAAATGATTCTATAAAAATCATGTCGACTGATGGAGTAATCCTCCGAAATGGTAAAAAAAAACTAAATAAAAATTTTTTTTCCAATTAAATAAAATAAACTAACAGCTGTTATAACTAACACTCAAACTTGTTGTGTTGAATATATGAAAACAAATGTGTTCTCTGTTTCTTGTATATTTAACTACAAGGTATATATATCGACTTGTGTTCAGTCTCAATATGTATACCTTGGCTACGAATTTAATACTTGTGTTCAGTATTAATTAATTAGCAAGACTAATGCCCTGTCCAATTCTTACCACACAGAGAAAAGTTTTTTTGATCCAAACGTCTGGAACGCCACACACAATAGAGTCATGAGAGAGAAAACAAAAGTATGGACAACGAGGCTGGTCGCAAATCAACAAGATTCTGATCTTGATAGAGCACAGGAAAGAATTACTCCAACTTTACATAATCAAACGACAGAAAACGATTCTACACCAAATCACAATTTATCTGAAGTTACGAGTAAGTAATCCTTTTTACTATATACATGAGTGACATCTACTTTACTGTATACGAGAGATTAGTGCACGCAATGAGAGTATGACGGAATGAACGAGTGTGTGTGGTATATACGAAAAATTTCAGTCATGTAAACTAATTGAGTGTTTTAGTTTCAGACCACCAGGAAGTAGATGACGACAAGATAAAAGACTTGACGAAAGTTATTGATAATTTATGTGAGAGTAGCATAAATATTCTAAAGCTCTATCGAGAATCAACTACAGTTCAAAATGATACAATAGAACAAACTTTGCAAAAAACCAACGACATTTTATCGCTCATCCTATCTGATTTAAAGGAAAATCAAATCAGAACTCAAGACATGATGTCAAACATGGAATGTGGCATTACCATGATCCTCGATAAGCTTGAAAATTCAGTTCCAAACAGAACTGAAAACGACACTGATACACCCACAAATAAACCTATAATAGTATCAAACATTATTGTATCTCCTAAATCATCAAACGCACCTGGAGCGATTCAAAACCAGTAGTCTCATCTCCATCGAAGAAAAATATCGCTGAATCAAGGAACTCCAATCGCAACATGTCCAATCTCTTTCCCAGAGCTGAAATAACACAGGAGCAACACCACATAAGTGACTTTCCTGGATCATCGTCACACTTTGGACAGCAGGAAAAAATGCAGTTGACGAAACAAATGGGACCAAATTCTACGCAGACAGATGAAAATACACTCCATCAACAACTTTCCGCAC